GCAAGGACGCCACCAAATAAAAGGGTGGCTTGCATTGGATGTCGGTGACTCGCTGTGGAGTGTAAGCATATATTTGTGATACATATAATCATCCTGTTCGACTGGAGGAAAACAATCGTATACAATCATAAATTTTCAGCAAGAATAATATTTTTCTCTCACATAAATCAGCCAACAATATTTGAACTAGCCACCACGGTAACCAGTCTACCGAACCGGCTGAACATGATGTCGGTGACAGGCTTTCAGGCTGCCGCCTGTCGGAGGAGTAGTACAACTAGCTACCTTCAAGGCTGCTGTAAAGCACACGTTGCTTCCTGTCTTTGGCAGCCTATTGTTTGAACAAGTACAAGCATTGTGGTACTATAGCTTTGACCAATTTTTGCTACCTGGCTGAAAGATCCTAACAGGAGCAGCAGATGTTTGCTACCTTTTGGAGTTATATACTCTATTAGACAAGATTCGATGTCACGTTGTTCGGTGCTTGGGAAAAAATAATCCTTCACCCTCTTTCCCCTGCTTAAAATATAGTTGGGTTTAGAATATAGTTGAGTTGTAAAATAAACGTGGCTTAGCTGATTGGGTTACTTAGGGTGGAATATTGTCTATCTAGATTTAATTTCTTAGCACTTTATGTGGGTGTTCGTAATTTTAAGAATTTATTCAGGATTTAATGACGTTGTTCTTTCAATGGCAGCGGCATGACGCCTGTGATGACTTGTTTTTTCAGTAATTTACGATATGTCTGTTAACAACGAGATATCTATGGTGATCTCATAATTTTCAAAATCTACCGGTTTAGCTTCAGCCTATGTTTGTACTGTAATTCGAAAAAAAAATATAGTTGAGTTGTTTTAGCTGCGAGTAAGTGGACTGACCCTTGATGACAACTCATCAATACAACCCGTCTTTCTATCTTTGCTTGGTATTATATTAATTTTTTTTACTTGAATATGAATAATATACGTATCAATTCTAATATAGATACTAAAATAGATATATGAAAATCTGTTATTTATTATTTTCTCTAACCGGAGTGAAAAAATATGGAATATGCGATATTATTTATTTGCATCTTTGAAGGAAATAAAGTACCTGGTGAACTATCTACAACTTTTAGTCATCGCTATAACCAAGACCGATGATATGAATTCTAAAATTACTAATGACGTACCCAACGAATTTTTTTTTGGAATCCCAACGAAATTATTTAAATGTAATCTCTATGTCTAATGACTAATGATGATATTAATTTCAGAATGACTACTAATATATGATTACTTTAATTTAAATATAATTTTGATTTAGTTTCAGCATGATATATATATTTGTTGTTCAAAGTTATTTCTAAATATTTTAGTTTCAGCATGATATATTAGGAGTTGATCATATATCGCAAAAAAGAACAGCGAAGGGCACGGGAAAGAACATGGGTTCTTGGCATATTTGTCAATTATCATGGGTTCACGAGTGACTCACATGACGGAACGCCAAAACTCCCGCCAATTAAGCTACGGTGGCGTTCAGGCTCAAACAGCTGGCTTCAACTTGATAAGTACAGTAAATTGAGTTTAAGGAATCAGAATGTAAATCGTAAGTGCTAGGCCGGATCTATTTGAGAAGCGGGGCAAAATCTAAAGACCGCCAGTAAAATTTGTTGTTTTTGAGCAAGGAGATTATGCAATTGACACGCAAACAAGGGCCTGTTTAGTTCCCCCAATTTTCAGAATTTGGCACTATGCAAAAAGAAGATTCTCCGTCACATCAAATTTGTGGTACATGCATGGAGTACTAAATGTTGACGAAATCAAAAACTAATTGCACAGTTTGGTTGTACTTTACGAGACGAACGTTTTGAGCCTAATTAGTCAACGTTTGGACAATTATTACCAAATACAAACGAAACGCTACAGTAGCTACTGTAGCTACGGTAACTCTGACGGCGCCGATTCCGCGCCGAACTAAACGAGGCCAAGTTTCAGTCTGAAATCATTTTGAATCACTAATATATTAAAGAAAATGCATATGGATCTGATGATCTTGACAGGACGAGAAAACTTTTGGCTGTTCAGTCAACATGTGTACAGTTGTGCCAGTACTCGTAGCAGATACTTTACTACTTTAGCAATTGTCTGATTGCTATCCTAGTGTGAAGCAGCAGCCGCCCGGCCGGGCTGTATGTATCCAGTAGTTATTAACTAGACCTTGTTTAGATGTCCTCAAAATTTTAAGTTTTTCGCTCTTTTTTCATTACATTAATTTTTGGACGTATATATAGAGCATTAAATTTAGGAAAAAAAAAACTAATTACATAGTTTGGTTGTAAATCACGAGACGAATCTTTTGAGCCTAATTAATCTATGATCGGACAAAGTTTGTCAAATACAAACAAAACGTGCTACAACGTTCAGATTGCAAAAATTTACAATCTAAACAAAGCCCTAGTCTTTCTCATGTTTGGTCGTCTGCATGCGTGTCTGTCTATCGGTAAGGATCAACGCGTGCAGCGCCGAAGAAGATCGATCCTTGATTAGTGGCTTATTTTGCTTAGGGCACCCGCAGTGGCTAGCTTATGAGCTAGCTCTAAGTATTTTTTATATTTTAATAGAAGAGAGATAAAAGTTAGGTCTTATCAAAAGCTAGACTCGTATACATATTTTAAGATTATTTTGAAAGTGTCACGTGGGTCTAATCATATTACGAATCATTGCTAGAAGCTAACAGCATTAGAGAAGTTGGCTTAGAGCTAGTAACTGACTTATACCATTGCAGGTGCCCTTAGGGCAACCCCAACAATTAGCTTTTAAGCTAGCTCTAAATATTTTTCTCATATTTTAATAGAAGAGAGAGAAAAACTAGCTCTTAATTAAAAGCTAAGCTCTTGCACACGTTTTAAGGTGATGTGAGAATATCATGTGGGACTATCCATATTAAAAATTATATGTTAAAAGTTGATACTATTGGTGAAGTTAGCTTATAGCTAGCTTTAACACCCTTACTCCCAACTTCCCAAGCTGCTCCCTCGGCGTGTCCTCATGCATTTCGACCATTTCTAGAAGATCCTGGGAAAAACTAGGCAACTGCAATGCAATGCTGCTTGTTCCCCCTTTTTATTTTTATTATAATGCTAACAGCTACTACCTCTGTCTCTAAAAAAACGTAACTATAGTATACGTGTTAGTTAAAGTGCTTCGTGTTGATCAAATTTTCAGTAAATAGTATTCACATTTATGACTCTAAATCAATTTATTATGAAAATATATTTCGTAATTAATCGAATGGTATTTATTTGATATTATAAATATTTATATTTTTTATATATAATTAGTTAAACTTGGTATAATAAAATATGACACTATTTCAAAATTGTCTTTTTTTTTGGGAACGGAAGGAGTAGTACCATATCTGTCCTTGGTTTGACGACTAAGGCCCCGTTTAGATGCAACCGAAAACCCAAAATTTTTTAAGATTCCCCGTCACATCGAATCTTGCAGCACATGCATGGAGTACTAAATGTAGACGAAAAAAAAACTAATTACACAGTTAGCCGAGAAATCGTGAGACGAATCTTTTAAGCCTAAATAATCCATAATTGAATAATTTTTACTAAATACAAACGAAAGTGCTACAGTAGCCAAAAGCAAAAGTTTTCGGAACTAAACAAGGCCTAAATATAACCATGGATGAACGCTAGCAGGGTTTCCATGTGGGGATGCGCGCGCTAGACAAAGGTGAGCAGTCTTTCTGCGTGCCTAGCAGTTGGGTGTGTAGTGGGTCGACAGAACAGGCTCGATCTCAGTCGGTTTCATATCCTGCAAAAGCTGCTAATGATGCGACTTGCGCAAGATTCTTCGTTCGTTAGCACGGCTAATTAAGCTATTGTTATATAATAAGCAAGACTATATATTAATATAGTACTAAACTGTACTACTGAGTTTGCAGAGTAGAGTGTTTTACTAGCTGGTCTGGTATTGGAATGGGAACATTTAACCACAGCCTTGTGAGCTTCTGCATGCAAGTTTCGTTCCCGTGTCCAATGCTCGGGTTACCGATGCATGCATGCCTAATCTGCCGACTACGTACGAGTCATGCATGGATGGAGATCGAATGCATGTCAGAATATGTCATGGACGGCGACAATGCATGCAGTGAAGAGTGAACCCACCACACCACACTGCGTGCCACCGGCCTTCTCAGCTCATATCAATATCAATCGACCTAGCTTAGCTTGGTAGAGTAGTTGTAATCAATAATCACACTGCTAGGTAGACGGTCGGTTGCAGTATTGAATGATCATCAGCCTCGACCTGCTAAAAGGATGGACTTGCTTTCTGCATTTCTTCATGCATGCGTGTGACGACTACCATCTATCGTATCAAAGCGGCCGGTGCTACTCTACGTTAAATGCACACTTGGACTGGAGCTTTTGTCGCGGATGTACATGTTTGCTCTCCTTCGTTGACGAATCTTGCTGATCGATTCGATACCCCTGTATTATTGTGCACACGCACGCTGCAGGACGTACCTACGTACTGACGATGAGATGCATGGCCGGTGCAGATGGCAGTTCAGACATTGATGAATTGATGGCCACGCCACCGAGGCGATGCAGGCAAGTCGTTGCGCTAGATACATACGTATTGTACAGTCCTAGTCCCCTACTACTACTACGAATATATACTTGAGATGGAATTACTTTGGCCTATCCATCGATATGATGTTAGACTGTTAGTTGTGTGTGCTGCAGCAGTTCTGTCTAGCTTAGCTAGGGGGTGCACACGAACCAATGCAAGGTTGCAAACTGCTCACATTAGCTAGTTGCTCTTTTATACACGTAGCTTTCCTATTTATATATATAGTGGCTGAGACGGAGGAGATTCTCGTACCATGCATGTTCAAATCGGAAAGTCGATCTGAAACCAGCAGAAGCAGACGTGAAACCCATACATACTCCGATCCGATAGTGTGTGTGAGGACTGAGGTGATCGATCGACAAGGCCATGGGACAATGGTGCTTTAAGAAACGCGCAGCTCTGGTGATTGTGGTCATCAGCTCGCTGCTGCTGCTCCTAATAACTGCTCAAGGTATATGTAAGTATATATGTGTGTTTATACGTAATACATTGCTAATTATTCATGCACGCTTTGCATTCTTGAATTGCCACATATATACAAACCTAACGCTGACCAATGCAAACCTTATGCCTCCGATCCGTCCATGCATGGCCAGCTGCTGCTTCCGGACACCATCCATCATCTTGGTCCACGCTGCACCAGGCGCGCAAGCTGCTCAACACCAGTACGCCGCCGTCGTCGTCGCCGCCGCCGTCGCCGCCCGGCGTGGGTGACGTCTCGACGGCTCGAATGGGGCCGGGCGGGTGTTCAGGGGAGGACGTGGTGGTGTACCAGAGCAGCGCCAACCCTCTGCCCAGCGGCATCCCGGCCTACACCGTGCAGATCATCAACGTCTGCAGCGGAGGGTGCACCGTGTACGACGTGCACGTGTCCTGCGGCGACTTCGCTTCCACGGAGCTCGTCGACCCGGCCAAGTTCCAGCGTGTCAGCTTCAACGACTGCGTCGTCAAGGGCGGTGGCACGCTGGAGCCCAGCGAGACCGTCTCCTTCCAGTACTCCAACTCCTTCTCCTACCAGCTCAGTGTCGCCTCCGTCGCCTGCCATTAGTAGATCACTACAAGTTGTTCGTCGTCGTCCCCGGAGTCGGAGATACATACATATGCATGCATGCATGCGGCCCGCCAGTGTGCTGTGTCCTGCTCTTGTTGTGTTAGTAGCTAGTTCCACGTTGTTGTTGAGTAGTCTATATGCACTTTAATTCGCATTGTGTGTGTCGATCGTGGTCGTCGTTATGTTTTTACGTCTAATATAGTTTGGCAAATAAATTAAAGTTATCAATCAGTCAAGGAGCCCCACCAACAAGTGTCATTAAAGTCAGCTGATAAGTCGGCTAAACCTGATTTATTATGAGAAAAAAATACTGTAGATTTTAGCTGATAAACTGGCTGATAAGTTCAAGCGAACAGCTCTCAGAGACAGACTGACAGACAGAGCACGTCCATTGCCGGTTCTACATACTGATGAGCAGCTGATCGAGCCGACCTAAAAGTTGAGCTACTTAACTGGCCTGCTTTTCATTCTTAGGTCCCGGTGGACCCAAAATAAAGCGCGCACTATATTTTCTATACTACTGTGCATTAGTATCGCACAAAAGTCGAAATTCCAAATTCCGTGCACTCATATTCTCAATTTCCCATTACTACACATACCAATATTTAATTTATCTTCGGAGAAAAAGATAAAGGTAGCTACTTCCAACAGAACTGATCAGAAAATAATTTGTGCGCTAGCTATTAAAAAGTGGCTAGTGTTACAGAATAATTATACGATGATCACGTAGAAAAAGAGATCACCTAGGAGGAACTAGTTAGATAACATTATACCTGCGAAACAACTTAATGGCAGCACCATGAGTACAGAATTGTACTCCGCGGAATATATATATATATATATATAGAACTACTGTTCTACAGCTGGCCATAAAATAACTTATTCTATGGCCACTTTGAGTTATAATAATTACCATGCTAATTTACGAGATTACAGTAACTTCTTACTAAGTGATTTACTATAACATTATCATAAATATCACCGTGAGTTGTAGTAACACGAGTATCGTAAATGCATATTCATGTTATCGTAAATTGGTACAAATATTATCGTAAATCAAGATGGCTATATAATAAGTTATTCTATGGCCAGCTGCAGAATAGCCTTACTAGGTGGTTTACTATAACGTTATGGTAAATATCCTCATGTGTTATAGTAACCCAACTATCGTAAATATTTATTAACATTATTGTAAATTAGTATATAAAATTATCATAAATGGAGGTGGCTATAGAATAACTTATTTTGTAGCTGGCAACTGAATATACTCTCCCTCTCTCTCTCTATATATATATATATAAACAAAGGAGTAATGCATTTAAAGTTAGCAAGGGATGAAAATTGGGTTGCGTAAATAGCATTTTATACAAATTAAATGTTATCTATCAACTACAACTAAGAATAGCGAGGTATAGCAAGTATGAACATTAAGCATGAAGTGTAGCTCAATCTTCCACTGAGTACTTCATCTCCATGAACTACTCTGAAGCTAGAAATCGAGAACACGCGCAAACATGCCCAGTGAATGAGCGACATAAGTCAAAACTTTGGAACCCATGCAGGAAACAAGATCCAACCTCCATACCCACGCCCAGATAAGGGTTGACTCATGCTCCCAATCTTTCGCAAGTGTGCCCGGATCACCCATGAATGGTTTTTGATGGTCCTAGGTACTAGCTATTCTAGTTACCCCGTGCCCCACCTTGTGTCAAATCCATGCGGTTATCCGCTCACCACAAAGTACTAGGCTTACCATGCCTGTAATATGATATGTGGTCTGTACGGGGGTGTGTTCAAGGCTTATTGCAATGTATGGTCCTTAACTAGCCCAACGAGCTACGTCATCCAAGATCTCCCATCTTGCAATGACCCAACCAGATGAGGACATCACTCCGTTACATACAAGCCGAGGAGAGGAGGAGGTCTAGCACGGGCGTCCAATTCATCTTTCTCATAGCGGAGGCCCAGTCCAACTGAAGTTGGAGCCCATCTCGGGTTCCAAAACCAGTCTGTAATAAAACTGGTCACACGGGTGCGTCCGAGCTCCGTTTTCGACGATCCATGTATGGATGGAAAGCTAATTACATAAGGAAGCCAATGCAACTGGTCTCACATCAAAAGCCCATCGGAATCAACGGAAATCGTCGAAACAAGTCAGCGTGCAGAATCTGCCAGGGTGCTGCGACACCGTCTTTTGGTCCGTTGGACCATGTATCGTGTTTGGGCCCATTAGGGGATGCATCCAGGGGGTGACGCCCAAGACTCTATAATTAGCAGCCATCGCTCTCCTGAGGGTTTGGGTTTTGTTTAGTTTTTGATTTCCTCGTAAAATAGACATCGTTTTGCTGCAACTGTGCCGCCAAGGCTGCTTGCTGTGAACCAGGGCCCCTGTTCTTGATCTTGTTCGCCTGTGTCGATTAGTCATTTCGAATAAAGACTTGAACTCTTTCTTGTTATCTTAAGCCTCATACTTATTTGTAATTTTAGATTGCGTTCATCCCGTTCTTGCTTGTGTTCTCGATTCATTTGTAGGAAAGCCTTCTCGGCGAGGTCAATCGCGTTCGTGTGGTTGATAACCAACAGAGCAGTGGTGTAACGGTTGCAGGGGCCCGAATCAGTCTTGGTTCGAAGCCTAAATCGTGAACGTCGAGTCTCCACCAATCGACGCTATCATATCTTTTGGAAGATCGGACCTAGTCTACATCAAGTGGTATCAGAGACATTATTGTCCGTTAGATATATCTTTGTTTTCTCCTTTAGATTGTTACTGTTTTTGCATTACCTATAGTCCACAAAAAGCCAAAAAAAATATACACCGCCACATATTTCCTATCCTATAGCCTCGTTGTGCCGTGCAATTTCGTCTTTGTTTCGCGTTATTGAGTTTGTGTCCTAGGACAAGTTCTGGTTGCTGGTTTTAGATCGTTTTTGAGTTCAGTTTGTGTCTTTCCCTTTGTTTTTCATCATAATCTGTGAACACCTTGAAGTCTTGTTGTGTTTCCTTTGTATCTATCAAATCCTAGCCCACGCCATCTAATTTGTTACACTTCACTATTTGCATCTATCCATAGCCGCCGTGATCAATTTTGTGCGCATTGTTCCTGTTCTGTCATCTAATTCGGAGTCAGTTCTTAAAACTGGTCTAGTTTTCGCGTATGAACTCGGATTTCGACATTCCATATATCAAAATCGACCAGAAAAAAATTTCGGATCCATTCGTCCCCTGCAATGTTGGGGTTGGAAAATTTTATTTTGGCCAAAAACTGGTCACAAGATTGTTTTTTCGTGGTCACAAGCTTTTTGTCACGTCTTCTGAATTTTTCAAAGGCCATGTCTTTCACTTGTTTATGCTCATATTTTTTGTGGTTACTTCTTTTGTGCTCCTAAGTGAAGAAAAAATATCAAAAAAATAAAAAGAAAAAGTCAAAGAATCCCAAAAAAACAACGACAGCCCAAAAATAGAGAAAAAAGAGAGGGACAAAAGTGAAACAATATCTAGAGGAGCACATAGAGAGCGCCATTTGAGCTGTGTTTGCGTGTGCTGATTTCCACCTTGTTCCTAATCATATTCTTGCTGTTCTCATCACTTGATACATCTGGTACTTGGAACGTGAATAGGCTAGCAACTAAGACAAGTACTCGGGATACTTATTCATCTTTGCTATTCAGTTGCGAATATTGTTTTTCCTTGCTACTATATTATGCCTGTCCAAGCTCCACTTTCTTCTAACCAAGTACAAATTCGCCTTGCAACTGTTACACTCGAGCTACAACGGTATCACAGTCACCGATCGATTGCACCGCCTGTTGCTTTGGTAAGAACACTTGTAAGACCGTGGTAAGACGCTTGAGAGTTGAGTGCCTTGTTTTTCCTTGTCCACAACCTAAGTAGTTGGTAGGGATAATACTATTTGTGTTGTCTTCTCCTTTCTACTAACCATGTCAGGAAAAGTTGGAGGCAGCGGCCAAGAAAACGAGGACGCACCTCTGATTTCAATGATCAGATTTCCAACAATGAGCTTTGTGCCGTCCTTGATGACAAGTTTAATGAGATCCTTCAACAAATCACCAACTTGGCCAAGAGGATTGAAGATGTTGAACAACGACATCCTGAACCATGTCCTGAAGATACTGATGATGATGATTTCTCTGAGGAGGATGATGGTGACGCGGAGGCTGAAGCTGAAGCTCAATGACGTGCTGAGGATGCACGTAACCGTAATCGGTTGAACTTTAACTGACGCGGTATGGGAGGTAATAACCAAGGTAATAACGATCCTTTCTCTAAAACCAAGTTTAAGATACCTCTTTTTTCTGGTTCTACTGATCCTGAAGCATATTTAGATTAGGAGATGGCTGTAGATCAAAAATTTAGCTCCCATCAAGTACCTGAAGAATATAGAGTTAGACTTGCTACTAGTGAGTTTACTAGTTTTGCTCTTTTCTGGTAGAATGATATTTGCAATAATGCTAATGCTAATGCTCAAATACCTCAAACTTAGACTGTACTTAAACGACGAATGAAATCGAGATTTGTTCCTCCATATTATAAGTGTGATCTACGATTAAAACTGCAACGTTTAAATCAAGGTAGTAAGACTGTTGAGGAATATTATCAGGAGCTTTTAATTGGTCTAGCACGTAGTAACATACAGGAGGATGAAATGGATAAGTGTTCTAGTTTTTTTGGAGGTTTGTGTCATGAAATACAGGATGTTCTTGACTATAAAGAATGGACTAGATTTTCCCAATTGTATCATTATGCTATTAAAGCTGAAAGGGAAGTACAGGGACGACAACCTAGGCGTTCCACGACTCCGTCCGCGACTCCATCCACTTCTTCACGTCCAAGCGAGGTGAGTAAATTTTCTAATGTGCAGACACCACCAGCATCTGTAAAGAAGAGTTCTCCTATCACACCTTCTTCTAGTGGATCTGCTACACCTTCCTCTAGCAGCTCTTCTAAAATTGTTTGCCACCACTGTAAGGGCATGGGA